ATTTGACAGGAGAGTCAAGAGTATATAAAAAGAGATATATGACAGCTTGACTCTAAGAGATAATCGACGGTCATGCAAGATAGATCCATTCATTTTTTTATGGCTTATCAACCTTTTGCAGGCTATTTAAAGCCATAAAATATTTTAAAATTCTAAGAATTTTTGGAGATAATCATAACTTTTACTGATATAACTCTTCTAATTAACTCATATCTGTGCGTGAGAAAAGTTGGACTCATACCTTTGCCCAGAGGTAATTGTGATTAAATAAATGTAATTAACCTAATTATAATTGGAACCCAGATCTCCAATTTTCAATTCCAATCTGTTATCCATTGCACCACTTGCACATCCAAGCTGACAGCACCTGGTATTCCCAAGAGAAGCCTGCATTACTGACTTTGCCCTTTAAACAAGATTATGTGGCAGGGCTCAGTTAGATAGAACACACATACACACACATATATATATATACATATGTCCGAACACCTACAGTTATATATATGCGAACATCTTTTAAATAGCAGAGATTGTATATAAATTTAGTGTTGACTGGTTCACCGTGTTGGCCCAGTCACACTCTGTATTTCCCTGAGGGTTCTGGAGGCACTTTTACATCGGGTCCCAAACCTTCTTTGTGCAAACAACGTGAGTGTTTGTTGGGACTCACTGTCATCTCTAGTTCCTTCTTGCATATATAAATATATATATATATATATATATATAATTTTTTTTTTTTTTTCCACCTATTCACATTGTACATTTCTCTTTTAATATTGAATCTCCCGTGGAAGCCTGACAAGCGGGAGCGAGTTTTTTTTTTTTTTTTTTTATTATTTAATATTGTTTTAATATGTCTTGTAATATTAAATTTTATACTTTTATTTCGATCATTAAATTTTGTACCTACAAAAAATATCTTTAAATATATATATATATATATATATATATATATACTTAGTAGAAAACGCTCAATATCATGAAACCCAGGGTCACAAACTTAATTCAAAAATATATATATATATATATATATATAGGCATGCTTCTAGATTGGCATTTCGATCCCACCTGTTTACTGTTGAAATAGCTAAATGCAACTGCCTCTTCTAATCTTTTCTCTCACTTACTTGCTTCCCTGATAACTACAATCTTCAAAAATTTAAATGCAATGTCAATTGCCATCTTCTATCTTCTTGAATCCAGTTCATCTTTTGTCCTTTCCTAAATACCCCTATACTCAGTCTTTTCTCTCATTTTCACTCCCTGTAACCCCCTAAATACTCATGGCATTCCCATCTTGCTTGTGGTGAAATGATTTATATATATTTATTCTTTCACAAGGAGGTATTAAATGATCTTAGACAAACAAACGTCCAAAAATCTGACTAAATATCAAATTTTTCTCTTGGTCTTACTAAGGATTTGTCAGCCTCCCTCCAGTGTCAAAGTAGATTGCAAATTTATGAATATTATCATTACCAATATATAGTCATTAATATCTTTCCTATTTTTATATAAAATTAACTTCATAGTAAAGATAAGTAAAAATAAAAATATTTCTGATACATCCTAATAAATATCCTTTCTTTTCCTCACCTTCCTTTCTCTTCTTTTATTATCTTTTTTTTTTTTTTTCTTGTTTTCTTTCCGACATGTTCTCTTATTGTTTAAGTTATTTTTTCCTTCCTTTGATAATTTACATTTATTTGATGCATTTATTATGCTCTCTCAAAATATGATGATTGTAAATCTCTCCTCACAAACATCTTTTTACTAAACAGTAAATACGATTGACTGGTCATTGTAAGTTGTCTGGCATTTCTGTGATCAAAGAAATGCAAGCATTAAGACAAGGGATCTCTACCAAAAGCAGTGAACAAAAGAATTTAATGAAGACAGAAATTATTCTTAGGCAAAACAAACAATGAGGAAACTTTGCAGTTGGTATACGGCTAAAGATAACCAAATAAGAAAGCTTACTCATCCGTTTCAATGTGAGGAAATGAGAACTGATCATTTAAGCATTCCATACCATATCACAGACGAATATACTAATGTTTTTTTCTCCAAAGGCTAGTGTACTGATGATGATGGAGGCTATGCTTATGACATAGGTATTCATAGTTGGGTTAAGAATGATATGAAAAAAACACAACATTTGTGTTCCTAGATAAACTATAATAAACTATAATCTGGAATTGACTTAAAGCACACCACACAAGGCAGAAATGCCACTAGTATGCAGGGGGGATTACAGGAAGTGAAAGTGAGATAAAAACTGAGAATACAGAGGATTTAGGAAAGGACAAATGATGAACAGGAGTCAAGAAGATAGAAAATGGTAACATAACATAACATTTAATTTTTGTAGATTGTAGTTAAAGGGAAGCAAGTAAATAGAAGAGAGTTCCACATGTGGGAAGTGCGAGAAAAGAAACAGTTGGAGTAGATATGGCAGTTGCATTTAACAGTAAAAGGGTGGTCCCTAGGTGCCAATCTAGTAGCACACTTAAATTCATATAAGTCAGGGAACCAGCGAAAAAAAAAAAGCCATCATGATAATTCTTAAAGTGGAATTAATACAAAACACTTCAAATATCTTGGTGAATGGATAAGTATTGAGTTAATCGCTTTGTCCACTGCAAAGAAAGTTGGCTCCCTGTACCGTGCCAGGAAATTTTTCTCCCCGGAATCGATCCTCCAGATATACAAATCAACAATTCGCCCTTGCATGGAGTATTGCTGCCATATATGGTCTGGAGCCCCTCGGGTTCTTGATAGGCTCCAGAGGCGGATATGCAATATAATCGGCCCTTTTCTGGCATCTCGTCTACAGTCACTCTCTCACAGATGCACCATCGCCTCTGTCTTTTTTACAAATACTTTCATGGCAATTGCTCCGAGGAGCTGCATTCGCTAGTTCCCAGACTTCATGAGTTCAAGTGCCTTACGAGGCTGGCATCCCACTCTCACCCTTTCACTGTTGAAACTACTAAATGTAGCCGCCTCTTCTACTCCAAAGCTTCATGTCTCACACTGCTCGCCTGTGGAACTCCCTTCCCTATTCCAGTTTCCCTGAGAGCTATAATCTCCAACTATTCAAATGTAATGTCAATCGACATCTCCAGTTGCCTTGATCTATCCACTATCCTTCTCCTCATCCTTCCCTCTATCACTCCTATCTGATCTTGCTCCAAATCTTCTGTAACCCCTTGCGTCCTAGTGGCTTCTTGCCTTGCTTGGAGTGAAATGCTTAAAAAAAAAATTAATATAGGAGATAAGAAAATTGTTTCATTATTATTTCAAGATATATTTACCAAAATTATACAAACATATCTGTTAAAATGAGATGTCAGTGTTATTTTAATTTCTGCATGATTTAGATGACAATTTATGCATCGTACTCTTTAGTTCTGCAACTCACTGTTTTAGTACCAACCATAGTAGCATCAGCTGTTTACCCCAAACACTGAAGCAAACCATCAAGAAAGAGTTAAAGTGAGATCAACCGATTTAATTGACCATCTGGCTACTATTCATAATATCATTTTTTATCTTCAGGATGTAGGCTTGTAAATATGTCATATCACATTAAACAAAAACATTGGGAAATCTTGAACCTGGTCATACCTCGATGGGTGAGAAAAATAAAAGAGTTAAAAACTCAAACAATGCTACACAAAAAATCATTAAACAATCATTTAAAAAAATTTAATCTAAAAATATTTTCTGGCTTAATCTGTGAAGGTTACTGATAACCAATAAATTATGCTATCTGCATATCCTGTTTGTAATTATATGAACGGCAAAATATGGTTGTAGACTTGGAGAACAGAGCTGTCATTTTAGAGAAAACAAAAAGATTCTACCTTTAACATTGTGAAAATGAAAGAGTTAAAACTCAAACAATGCTAATAGTTTTCTTTTCTATTGATTACTATCTAATTTAGCTTGACAGATGACACACAAAATGTGTCTAATTTTAAACCCAATCAAGAAATTAAACCCAATCAAGAAATAATTAAGTTTTTATATGTTAATGAAATTTATCAAGTTGCATAGCTTGCATAAAATGCTTCACTAATAGGATGAAAGAAAGTCAATACTGAACATTTTTCAATGTGAAATTCTGGTCAAAATAAAATATGAATAAGCTTTTAAACATGAAATAAGGATGCAAGAACAGCTTGACAATCAATAATTAATTTTTAACAATATTAAATATTTTATTGGAAGTTTAAGATGTTTTATGTGGATTTGCCAGACTAAAAGCTTGAAAAATAAGTGCTATTTTTCTGAAAACATAAAATTTAATTTTTGTGTTTTTCATTAAAAAGGCTTCTTTTTCAATTTTTAATTTGAAAATATCGAAACTGAAGTGAATAACATCTCAATAATGAAGTAGTTAAAAATTGTTTCTGTCAATAATTCTAGTTTTTCGTAGTTTACTTAAAAGCAACATTTGTGAGAATCTGATCTTGAACAGATGAAATGATTTTGAGCTGATTTTTAAAATAGCAGGCACACCTTTGCATACTTGATTTGTTTTCCTGATATTTTTATTTTATTTTTGATCGTATCATTAAATACACCACTGTATCATGAATGCAGGGTAATCTCCTGACAAATAAAGCAGCAACTAACAGGTGGTTTTACCAACAAATGCTAAAAATATCATGGATATAACATGTGATCAAAAAATATGTTTTTAAGAAAATAGAAACTCCAAGGTAACTGATATTCACAATCAGAAATAAACATTTGACATTTTGGGGACATATAATGAGGAGTGAAGGCCTAGAGAATTTAACACTCACAGGATAAATTGAAAATAAGAAGAACAAAGGGAAACAGCAAGTAATCCACTCAATAGGTTTGTGTTAATGGATGGCAGAAGGACAAAGAGGAATGGTTAAAAGTCAAAATGACTTCAAGTAACAAACTTTTCTGGCAACAGATATACATAGAAATAATAGATATGACTAGGCAGACATGAACAGTTAGATATAGATAGATGGGAACAAGCAGAGACAGTGCAATAGATAGATACAACTAGATAACAGGTAGAGATAGTGTGATAGATATGACTTGATACACAGATATGAACATGCAGAGACAGATAGGTAGATAGATACTGGACAGGCAGAGGTAGATAGATACTGGACAGGCAGAGGTAGATAGATACTGGACAGGCAGAGGTAGATAGATACTGGACAGGCAGAGGTAGATAGATACTGGACAGGCAGAGGTAGATAGATACTGGACAGGCAGAGGTAGATAGATACTGGACAGGCAGAGGTAGATAGATACTGGACAGGCAGAGGTAGATAGATACTGGACAGGATAGAGGTAGAGGTAGATAGATGCTGGACAGGCAGAGGTAGATAGATACTGGACAGGCAGAGGTAGATAGATACTGGACAGGCATAGGTAGATAGATACTGGACAGGCAGAGATAAATGGATAGAAAGAATAACGCTAATAGATTTGATATCCTAGTGCTTTGGGATTTTTTTCTTCTTCAAATAAGGCAATATTTGGCTTTTCCATTATTTATTTTCCCACTGTGATTTTACAAGCACATGATGTACTCAATCAGCTAACCTTATTGTAATATCTTCCATGAGGTGAGAGGATGTATAAAGGTAGGTTGAAAAATTCACAGGCTTACTATGAAAAGATGATGCTAGAACTATGGAATCTTGCATGCATTAATTTTGAACACTTCTTATTAATAACTGCATGTTTTCTTTACAGGTAAACTGACACCTGAAAGTTCAAGGAAGACTTCTCAAGTAACTAGTGGTGACTTCTCTTGAAAAGGGACTGTAGTGAGATGCAAATTAGTATAATTTGCATATGAGCAGGTAGCTCATATGATAAATGGACACCAACTAGAACAGAGGTTGAAAACGCTTACTTAGCAAAATACACGACACAACAGGGACAAAATTTGGCATCATTATGTTACCAACTACCTACAGAAAAAGGGTTCAATCCTGCTGACATGGTTGCTACATGAGGGGGATGATACTCCAGTCTTATCAATAGGGCAAAAGTAGGCAATTAAATTTAAGAGAGGAAAGGAGAGTTTTGAAAATGACTACTGCATCTGCCACCACTGAGGAAGACATTGATCATGTTTGACCATATGATGATGGATGACAAGCAACTGATTATAAATCAAATAGCAAATACTATTAGCATATCCTGTGACAGAAGTTAAAATATTATACACTTATGAACTTGAGTAGGTCCTATGTCTTCTGATACCTGTTCAAAAGCATACAAGGTTGATCACATCACTGGAAACTCTGGCATTGTTTGAGGCAGATGCAGCTGGTTTCCTTGAAAGTTATCTAGTCCAAGATGAGTGTTGGGATACTCACTTTGAGTCAGAGACAAAGAGACAATCCATGCAGTGGAAACACTCTGCTCCAAAGAAGGGCAAGGTCACTTCATCTGCAGTGAAGGTGATTATCAATTTTTGCAGATACAAAAGGTTTTGTGTTTATTGACTATATTCAAAAGGACCACACCATCAATGGAGAGGACTATGCAAACTTGCTGAGACAGTTATAAAAGGCTGCCAAGACCAAATGTACAGGAAAACTAATGAAAGGGGGTCATATTTCATCATGACAATGCTCCAGCATACAAATCCTTGATTTAATTGCTGCTGTATGTGACTGTGGCTTTGAACTGGTTCATCACCCTCCCTATCACCTGTTCTTGAGCACATAAGAATAGTTAGCTGGGAACGAGTATCACAGTGATGATGACATCATATCTGACATTGATGACTTTTTTTGGCCAACAGGATGAACAGTCTTTGAAAAGTCATATCAGTTTACCTGGAAAAAAAAACAATCAGTTATTAATAAGAAGAGTTTAATTTAATTAATGCAAGATTTTCCAGCTCTAGCATCACTCCTTTATAGTCAACATATGAACTTTTTTTTTTTAAGTGCACCAAAATATCACTGCCAGCCACTTGATGACTGTGCGTAATAGTATGTAAGAAACTGGCAGTCATAGATTCTATTTGTTCATATATCTACATTGGGTTGTATCACTTTATGCTCAGTTTAAACTAGGAGGCAATCCTACAGAATCTATTAAAAGAAAGCAGAAGAAAGGACTATCAACTGTAAGACAGTATGGTTGTCAGCAAATAGAACAACCCAAGATGCTAATCATTAAATTGGAAACACAAAATCCAGCAAATTCAAAAATTTAGATACCTAGTAAGTGTTATTTACACTATTTACATTGTTTGGACTGTTACCCTCAACTTCATTATCATATTCACAATGTTCCAGCCATTGTACACTCTGGTCTTATTCAGGTGATACAAGTTGGAATTTCGACACATGGCCCAGTGGATAAGAGAGTTAGTTGAATACCTGGCCATTGCAGAGGTGAACAAAATAATGGAGATTTGAGTTATTAAAGGGAATTAACTGAAACAACCAGAAAAGGAACTGGAACAATCTTTCCCCATGGACTAAATAAAGGGTTTGGTTCAAAATTCCAATGTATATCACCTGAAGAAGGCCAGAGCATACAATAGCCGAAACGTCATGAATATGACAATAAAGATGAGGGCAACAGTCGAAACAATGTAAATATTTACAATAGCTCATCTCAGAAATATAGACAGCTAGTAAGTGTTTTATCAGAAGAGAGAAAACACAAAACCAAAATCTGAAGGCATGCTGAAATAGTGAAAGATGCCTTCCAAAAATAAAGCAAAGTATTAAGAAATAGGAAAATTTCATTAGATACAAAGAAAAGGGTACTGTTATGTGAAATTGGTCACCCATATAACAGCGAATGCTGGAATATCTCCTCACAGATGAAGAGACTTGAGGCAACAGAAATGTGGTTCTACAAGAGGAGGCTTAGAATTCCAAGAGATGTATGAGCAATGACAAAGTTTGAAAAAATAGAAACAAAAATTGAATCAGAAAAGGACAATTGAAATGTCTAAGATGCAATGAGGGCTTGGAAAATCTGATACTCACAGGACATATTGAAGGCAAGAGGAACAAACAAAAGCAATGCATAACCTACCTAACGAGCTTGTGTAAATGGCTAGTAGAATAGTTATTTAGAGAGATGGCAAAAGGATAAACACAGCTAAGAACTACAAAGGACAGAAAGTTGTGGAGTACCATGATCAACCATATCCTGAAGGGACATAGCATATTCAGTGTGTGATGGATAAACTCATCTAAATTACAGAAAAATGAAAACAACATCGACATCTCATTGTAGCAGATGTATTTACCAAAATTACCTAAAAAATATCTTGAAATACTAAAAGAGCAAATTTATTCAATAAATTCAATCACAACCTTCAGACAACTTTGAAATCTTCTGCAACTCTTCTGGATGTTTTCCTTGTTTAAGTTGGTGAATGCTGCCATAATCCTTGCCTTCAATTCATCTTTGGTGTTACAAGGAATTTTGTTGGTCTCTTACTCAACTGCACCCCACACATAATAAAAAAGTAGTTGCAATCTTGGAAGTTTGGTGGTCAGATGTCAGAGATGATATTGTCACAGAAGTTGTCTGACAGCCATAACTGGGTTCTCTTGCTTGCGTGGCATTGTGCCAGATATAGGGTTTTCTAACAGCCACCCTCTTGAATCAGGGCAGCCTTACCTTCTCAAGGCACTTTGTTGGTCTCTCATCCAACTGTGCTCCACATATAATAATCAAGGGGTTGCTGTCTGGGGAGTTAAGTGGCCAGATGTAAGGGGTGAGCGGGGGTCACAGAAATTGTTTGACAGCTATAAGTGAGTTTTACTGCTTGTGTGGCATGGTGTAGAGTCCTGTTTCCAGACATAGTATCTTCCAGTAGCCATTATTTGGACTCAGGGCAGCTCTACTGTAGAAAATAAAAATATAACCTGGCTGCAATTTACCCATCACACCCTGCAGAAGAAGTTATAGCAAATAACTTCTGTTACTATTCTTCATCTTTCTTTCATTCTTTCTATTCATGTATCTTTGACTTAAACTTTCATGAGAAAAAATAATTTGTATCTTTTTTTTTTTTTCTTTGTCTCTTCCATTTGTTCTACAATTCTTTTGTATCTTTCATGGAGAAAACCCATCATGTTATCTAGGTACACGCAAACACACACAGACACCTTCCAGCTTTCCAGTCAACTTTGATCTTCAAAAATTTATATGCAATGCAAATCATTATCTCCTGTCTTCATAATTCTTGTTCTTTTATTGTTCTCTTTCCTTATTTATATTTTCTTTTTCTCATATTCACTCACACTCAGTAACCCCTTTCATCTTAGTGGCTTTATCTTTTTGTTTGGAGTGAAACAATTAAAAAAAAAAAAAAACAATTATAAAAAGAGACAGCTGAAAAGTTCTCAGCTTGACTCACTTCCCATGTTCTGACTAAATAACCAAACACATCTGGTCTGCTGATTCAATGATAGAGATTCTTGATAAGATCCAAAGAAAAATCTACAATGTTATCGATCATGACTTGGTGTCTTGTTTTCAGTTGCTTACCCATTACTGTAAAGTAGCTACTCTGTGCCTTTTCTATAAATATTTTCATGGTAATTGTTCTGATGAGCTTTCCTGTTTTATTCCCCTGATCACCACAGACAGAAATTGTACATATGGGGACTAGTTAGGACTCCACAGAGATTCCTGAAAGATTATGGTGTATGTAGTTGGAATGGTAAGTAAGAATGTATTGTTCTGGTGTAAGGAATATTGTGGTATATTTGGATCAGTGATTGCGACTATCTAAGTTTAATTATAAGATAGAAGAAGATGAGCCTTCCCCATCCCATATTTCTGCCTTGTGCCACATTTTTGAATTTTATACAGAATAAATATCATTTTCCTGTTTGTTACCTCAACTTTATGAATTTAAGTACTGCACTAGATTGGCAGTTAGTTCTCAATTTCACTGTTGAAATTGAAATTTCCAGATGCAACCCTAAGTTATACACCAATAGTTTCTTCTCTTGAAAGTAAGAAGCACTTGTGGACCTCTTTGGAATTTCTGTTTTCCTGTCAACTATGATCTTCATAGATTTAAATGTCAATCTTTATCATGTCTCTTTGAATACTGTTCTTTTCTTGTCCTCTCTGTTTTTTTCACTCTCAGTAACGCCTTGCATCTTAGTGGCTTTCATCACCTTGCTTTGGGTGATATGAATAATATTTTTTTTTTTTTGCAAAGCCTCCAACTTAAATAAAGAGTCTATTTTCAAAGGTTCATAAACATCTGATGACGGACAGTGAGCACAATAGCCAAAATCTCATAAGAGCTACAAAAATATAGACATTATTTATAAATGATATAATTTAGGTGAACATGAATTTTACATAGATTTGAAGACAATTGTGTTTTCAGTCATTTTTCTCAATTAGAGCATGGTGTTTTGTCTTATGAACTATTGTAATGACAACAACAAAGATGAGGCCATTAATATAAGCATTTCCTCACTATACTGAAAAACGTCCATCAGTTCTCTGTTAAGAATTTATCCGACATGGCACATATATCATAAGATGCAAAAAGATTGTTGTCAGTGTTTTCAATAAAGAAATATTGCTAAATCAGAGGTAAGTAGAT